CAATTACATGCGTATATTAATTTGATAATATACTATCTCGCTTGACTTTCAAAGGCCATAAATCGCAATAATGTTGACATTTTACTAAAACTATCGATAGAAATTAGGAGATATTTCTTCACTGAATCGAACAGTGGGATTTCCATGTAGGCCTATCAGTCATGTTCTGAACCAAAGATACTTGATAGATATTATATACGAACCTCCAAAGTATAAACAAGGGGCCGGTTGATGCATTAATTATCAAATAACAGTTAAACTCTTATATACCCGTTGAATATGTATAGTTGTAAACAAATAAAAACTATCGTTCTATAAAGTTCAATACTTTCAGTTTGGTTGTTGACTGATGATGAATCTATAGTATAGACTTGCATGCTTTGTATTTTGAGCTTATTAAACCACCGTTTTAAGGCAGCTAAACGGCTAAACGGGCTTGGTTTATATTAACACATAAAAAAAATTCCTTGATTCTCATCACTAGACACAGTCTACACTTTGAAATGTCGAAGACAGTGGGAGATTTATTTTTTATATTTTATATTTATATAATTTATATATCAATAGTTCGTATCTTTAAAGAGTTTCTTTAAAATACAATGAAATTTCACTCAAAATTCTGTTTGTTTCAAATTGGAAGTTTAAAATGGCAATAAAAACTCTATATAAAATATGAAAAAATTAACTGTCTTGAATTATTTTGTCGGGCGGTACATTTATATTGTATAACGAAAAATAAAACGTTTTCACGAGGATTTTAAAATTCAGTCGGGCGGTGATGAGAATCAAGGAATTTATTTTATGTTGGGCAGTTGTGACTTGGGAGCAGCTTGGGAGTGGCTAGTTTTGAATATTTACTTAATTAATGCATCTATAAATAGCGTTGATGCTTCAGGGGCGGTAGTTCATTTACACCCAGTTTTGCGGCAGGCGGTATTTCCTACGTACCGCCTGCCATGCAGGCTCTAGGTAGTATGTTAATGAAGTTATGCGGAATATCAGTGAAGACCTGTCAAAAATCACAGCACGGTGCTGTCACAATAGTCTACTAATTAATCCAGACAAGACCAAAGTGTTAGTACTAGGAACACACAAAATATTGCAACGAGGCTATCTTTAAAACAAGGAACGGGGAATCGGGGAATGGGAACGGGGAATGGGAACGGGGAATGGGAACGGGGAATGGGAATGGGAACGGGGAGTGGGAACGGGGAATGGGAACGGAAGTGGGAACGGAAGTGGGAACGGAAGTGGGAACGGAAGTGGGAACGGAAGTGGGAACGGAAGTGGGAACGCGAACGGCAATCATATGAAAATCATCATTTAAAAAACGAATAAGTTCTTTGTATGTTTGCATGGTGAAAAAAATATAATTTATACTCTGTCGCCCTCACGGATCGAAAGCTTTGTGTATCTACAAAGTACAAATTGAAAAAAAACACGAAAAAGAAGCCGAGCTGAGAATGTCCATTTTATACATTCAACAAATTTATATCGTGCACACATTCTGCTATGTTTAATTTATTATGATCTATGATAATTCATAGCTATTTTCGTAAATAGAATAAAGTTGAATTGCAAGCACTGTTTATCGTTAGCCGCGAATGACTCCCATCTTATATTCGGCTTTGTTTCAGCGGTATATCCCACAGAAACGGTCTTTTATTGCTAAAATAATCATACATGCAAAGTGCCATCTAATATATAGTAGAATCTCGCTATCTCGAATGGGAGGCGAAGATTGTTCAAGTTAGCACATGTTCGGTTAACAGGGATTTGTGTTGGATTTCGTTCCACAAAATTTAAGCCATTGCGGTGCATTTTAATCGAATAGCTCTTCGAGTTAGCAAAATTCTACTGTATCACGTTCTCAAAACATCTACTGTTCTAGGTGATGCGCATGCACAAAGCTATCACGTGCACACAGTGTTTTTATAATTTATTTACTGAATGAGTTTCACCCTGCAGAACAATTTTCAGACGATATGATTCTAAAAAATGCTGTTTTTGAGCTGGACCAATGTTATAATTAAATATATCAAAACGAAGATCGCTGTTGACGAAAAGCAGTGGGGTTCTCTAAGCCAAGAAGAAAGAAAGTCCAGACTTGTGAAGTACGTAAACAGTGGCATGGATTGCAAGAAAGATCTCTCAAAGTGTAAACGCAACGACCGTGATGATTCGTCTACCCCGTCGACACCGGTAATCTCAATGACTGCCTCTCGGACAAAAAATGTCCATCTTCACCTCAGAATAGCATGCATAAGAGCACGGTATCCGGAATTTCCAGCTAGTGCCCTTGTTGTTTCTCTCAATTTTTCGCCAACATTTTCTACAGGAACACCGTTGTGAGATTGAACGCGGAGTTTGGATTGACAATTGATAAGTGGAAGGCGGATAAGTTTACTTTTCATGGTATTCAACCTCTTCATTATCAGGCTCGGCATTCAACACTGGTATTTCCGCAGTATTAACTATTAACGATAATCTGACAGCAGGAATGAGACCTGATTAACATAGTTTAGTTCTTATAACTGAAAGCACATAATAGTTCTTTAGTTTTCACGAGTTTTCGGTTGTAGCACTAATTTTGATATATTTCATAAAAACATTGGTCCAGGTCAAAAACAGCATTTTTTAGAATCATATCGTCTGAAAATGGTTCTGCAGGGTGAAACTCATTCAGTATATAAAAACAAGTGTGCACGTGATAGCTTTGTGCATGCGCATCACCTAGAACAGTAGATGTTTTGAGAACGTGATACAGTAGAATTTTGCTAACTCGAAGAGCTATTCCATTAAAATACACCGCAATGGCTTAAATTTTGTGAAACGAAATCCAACACAAATCCCTGTTAACCGAACATGTGCTAACTTGAACAATCTTCGCCTCCCATTTGAGATAGCGAGATTCTACTGTATATTAGATGGCACTTTGCATGTATGATTATTTTAGCAATAAAAGACCGTTTCTGTGGGATATACCGCTGAAACAAAGCCGAATATAAGATTGAAGTCATTCGCGGCTAACGATAAGCAGTGCTTGCAATTCAACTTTATTCTATTTACGAAAACTAGCTATGAATTATCATAGATCATAATAAATTAAAAATAGCAGAATATGTGCACGATATAAATTTGTTGAATGTATAAAATGGATTTTCTCAGCTCGGCTGCTTTTTCGTTTTTTTGCAATTTGTACTTTGTAGATTCACAAAGCTTTCGATCCGTGAGGGCGACAGAGTATAAATTATATTTTTTTCACCATGCAAACATACAAAGAACTTATTCGTTTTTTAAATGATGATTTTTATATGATTGCCGTTCGCGTTTCCACTTCCGTTCCCATTCCCCATTCCCATTCCCCGTTCCCATTCCCCGTTCCCATTCCCCGTTCCCATTCCCCGATTCCCCGTTCCTTGTTTTAAAGATAGCCAAGGTGTGTGCAAAGACATGAAATCTATAAAAAGGTATTGTTTACAAAAGAAATCAGTTGCACATGCCTTTACTTAAGCCCGCTGAGGGATGCGTTTTCTCGCAATAAAGACAACATGGCTTGGTAATCTGATAGTGGCAGATGTATGTATTATGTTCCTCACAGCAAAATCGGTTGGAATTGTAACTAAATGATCAAATAAAGTGTGCGCAAAGACATGAAATCTGTTTCAAGAACAGCTGCGTATCTTAAGAAATTTAAACCACTAGTATATATGTTACTATTATATTATTTTATGTGGTTACGCGGATCTCGTACAGTCTGTGGTATAATTCATATAAATTTAGTATACCTAGGTATGATTGCACTCTAGCTAAATCTGCTATATATTTTGTCATCGATACAATGGAAGTATGTGTTTACATATCTCAAAAATACATCATACACAAACATAAAATGAAAACGTTTAATAGAACATATCTGATATTCATCAAACAAATTCTTGCGTGAACTATAGCTAGATTTGTTGTCGCCAACCAAAACAGTCGGCATGTTTCTCTGTCTGTATATTACTTTAAAGATATATAGTTACACTGTATTAGTAGCGTCAGACAATTTCCCTAAAATTACCTGTATATACTAATGAAGAAACACAAACTTAGGCGAAGACGGACAGTGTGTACATTCGTTTGCGTTCCGCAATATGAAAGATAAACTGTAAAGCAACCTCTGTTATTTGACAGCTAAAAATAAAATTATCACGATCGTTCCATTTAAGTATTGAAGTTTATAAATCTGCTAAAATATACCCAATAAATTTGTTCTAACAGCAAGAAATTTTAAGCCAAACAGGCATGGCCCTTCTGATTATTATAAAGTAAAACGACGCCATTTCCCATTCACACTAACACAGCTGGAAAAAACGAAGCCCGCGCTTCCGGGAGCAAAATGCATAGCAACCGACCACCGTGCTAGCTAGCTAGTTGCTATTTTGTCTAAGAGTATATTGTGGTCGACAGTATCGAATGCTTTTTTCAGATGCAGAAACAAAATCCCAATATTTGTATACCACTCGTTGGTTATGTCCAGTAATGCTGTAACAGTTGAGTGAAGTGGTTTAAATCCGTGTTGGGAGTTTGAAAGCAGATTATAGTTATGTAAATAATTATAGTTAGGGTTAGGGTTAGGGTTAGGGTTAGGGTAATCAAAACTGTAACTGCAGTATAATGGAAAAATAAAATATCTATAGATTTGGTTATAAATCAGCTTTTCCGCAAGGAAATACGGAAATACGTCGGGAAATAGGGAAATACGTCGAGTGGCACATCTTTATCGTATCTAATCTTTGGTAACACGATAATTTTTTAAGAATATTCTTACAAATATCACTTTTAATTACAGAATTAACAATTTCCCAACATATATATGTTAGGTATGTTATTATACGTAATATAAGCTTCAATTTAAGGTAAAATGCAACCACACGTACAACTAAACTGCCTTTAATTAAATGGCTTTATCGATAAACTTTGAGTTTGCAATAAAATTATTTCAAATTCTCGCATGCAAATAACTTTGCTTTCTTTTTTATTTAAAAAATTCAATATAATAAAAAAGGGAACCAATATTAATAATACACTGAAATTATATGCTGTCTTCCTTAGTTGTTTCATATACGCAAAGCCAAAGGGCAAAGGGCCAAAGGCCGTCGTGTTTTAAATCCATTATAAAATTAATATTTAAAACAAACTTACCTTCGTTAACGTCGGTTCCCTTCTTTTAGCCGATTCTTTCGCCCTTTCTTTCTGAGAAAGCTTTTGAAATTTACAAAATCTTGCAAAAATGCGAGCAAAAATAAAATATATTATATTTGCAGGAAATTTATCAATCATCAAATCAAGAAATGTTTGCCGATTTCGCTGTCGTCATGCAGTCGTTATAATGCAAACTTTAAATTGGACCAATCACAACCTCGTCCCCAGGGCCGCCATATTTTTGAGATCAGTGAGCCTAAACACCCACCCAACACCCCAACATCGTTGGTGAGCCACGCCCGCGATCATTGATGAACTTTAGACTTCGCTAATGCTTTCGTTTCCCCGGGTGTAAATAGCCAGGGGGAATTAGTACCCTCGCACGGCGCTTCGCGCCGTCGGCTCGGGGATTAAAAATGCATTACGTTCAATTCTTGGTTTTCGGTCGTTTGCCCGTTTACCAGTGGATTCGACTAATTTTTCTCGTCATTTTGATAGTATTTTGAGCCCAAACTATTTTATTTTGAAGGTTTTAAATTGCAGTTTGAATAAGCGAAATTGTATTGTTGACAAATCGCTCAAAATTATTAAACTAATTAAAAATGCAGTACGTTTGAAATAACTTTGGTAACGTTGGTTTTCTCTTTTCGGCCGTATACCAGTATATTCATCTCACTTTTCTCTTCATTTTGATAGTATTTCATGTGCTAAAACCTGGACGATGGACGTCGACCATCGTCCATCGTCCAATAAAACCTGGACGATGGAGTCCATCGTCCAATAAAACCTGGACGATGGACGTCCATAGTCCATTGTCCAATAAAATCTGCACGATGGACGTCCATCGTATGATTGGTTTATAAGACAAAATATTTTTTAATCTGTCTTTTGATTGGTTGGTCTAATTAGATTATACTATTATTGTTGATATATTTTATAGTGATCACAACTATAATTAGTTTGTTGTTGTCGTTGTGTGAAATTTAAATTTCTCCTGCGACATTTTGATTGGATACTAAATATAAACTTTGCTGTGCGAGGGTGGAAAGCGATCGGATTAAGGTTTGTGTCAGGCTCTATTTTTTATAGAACCTGATCTGAAAACGTTTTCTATAGTTGTTACTTATTTCTAGATACATTATTTAGAGGGATGCGTCTTAGTCCCCCCCACCCACCCTCCCTCCCTAAATAATTTTGTGAACGTCAGGAAAATGTTCGGCCGTCCCCTAATTACTTTTCCTCCCGTACCGCCTATATGGGCACACCTGTAGACAGCTATTGACTGGGAACCACTAATGTATGTACTAATATTAATGTACTAATATTTATTCATAGAATTTATGTAATACAAGACGCTGATAAATCCCCATTTCTAGCTGCTCTTGTTTTGGTGACTTTTTTCAGTTGCAGCAACAAGAGAACCAAAGAGCGAGTCTTTGTTTGCCAGAAGTGCAGACGGTTTGTCAAATTCAACAATCTGAAATAAAATAGAAATATATTGATGAAAATGTATTATTGCTACCGTAGCGAGCGATGGTGGTTTCACCTCATGAAAATACTTTTTGTATCTGCGCGAAGCGCTAGATACTATGCTATCGAGTTGTGTGTGTGTGTGTGCGTTAGAGATGCGCAAATCCGATCCGAAACCGATCCGAATGCGATGATCCGATCGGATTTGTTCGGATTTCGGAACCAAAATATTCATTTCGGATCGGATTGATACAGTTGTTTCGTAGTCGGATCTGATCGGACTTCGATATCCGAAATAAAATGAATTAATTATCCACGCATTGTCGCAAGAATTAATTATCCATGCATTTATCAAAGCATTATCGCGGTTGTCGCTGCATTATTCGTTTGATACTTCAATTGGACGTCACTTTGTCAGCTTCTTGACATGTATTTCTTGCTTTTATATTTATTTGGTTAAATATTTCAACTTGAATGAGAAATTTATTTTGTTAAAGAATTCTTCGGATCGGATCGGATTGGAATTCTTTATCAAAACTCGGATCGGATTCGGATTTGACCATTTCGCATCGGATCGGATTTTAAACATTAGGCAATTGTCGGATTATAAACGTCCAATCCGATCCGATGCACACCTCTAGTGTGCGTTAAACACTCAGGTAGACTAATTAGGGCTGTACACCTGCGAAGAGGCAGTAAAACAAATATGGTGGCTTTCTCGCAGATACATGTGCGCCAAGCGTACCTATTTTTATGATTGCACAAATATAGACATTCAATATTTATTACTGCTTATTGCATTCTTATCTCAATGGAATCAATTATATTTGGTTATTTCCTCATGTTTCCTCATGTTGTATTTAAAGATATAGGTTTGTGATTGGACTCTTTAAAAAGCAAGACCTTCTCTTGATTTTTATAAAGTTTTATTTAAAATTATGTGCGACATAAATTTGCACACCCGTGCGTCTCTCTCTGACATACAACACTGAGTTATTGTTCAAGCGTTCATTGTCCTGTCATGTGATCACTCACATGATTTGCGATGACCAATCAAAATGCAATACTGCTAATTTGCTAACATGAAGTACGAAATTGACCTAAAAATATTAATTTCTACACCCTCCTAACCAAAGATTAAAAGTTTGTTAAGTGCTAGCGTTAATAAAATCCTAACTTAATAATATTGTTCACGAGCTCTTCGCAAGTTCTGCCCTTCGATCGCTGCTTTTCTCCTAACTCGTCCATCATTGCGTTGTTTCCTGTTTTCATCACTGTTCTCGATCTCCGGCAGTTCTACAATCGTTTCATTCAATTGTCCTTCGGAATTATCATCTCTACGATCGTTTCTTGATGTTTCTACAATTTCGAACGGAATCAATCTTTGAATTGGTCTAAACACGTATGTCTGCTTTCCAGTTTTAGAAAGCACCTTCAGTTTAGCGCCACGTACTTTCTCATCACGACCTTTCACCAGATTCAAAACCTTGCCCATTCTCCATTGCGTCCGCGGTGTAGGGTCGTCGTCTTTGATCAGCACTACATCTCCGAGTTCGATCATTCTAGCCTTTCCACCTTTCTCCTTGCGGTAAATGTTCATCTGACGAAGTTCATTTAGATAATTACTACGAAATCTCGACCATAAATCTTTCAATAACTTTCGTAAGTGGAATAACCGTTTCTTGCAATGTTCGAGACTCATAACAGACACAACGTCCGTAGTTAGAACCTTCTTTCCCGTAGACATGCTGCGACCATGCATAAGATGAAATGGCGTTAACGCCACGTCTAAATCGTCCTCGCTCACGTAAGCTAACGGTCGGTTGTTGATTGCGACCTCTATCTCACATAATATAGTTTGAAGTTCCTCAAACGTTATGAATGCTTTACCAAGAGTTTTCTTCAAGCATCCCTTTACCGATCGGACTAAACGCTCGTAAAACCCGCCCCACCATGGCGAAGCAGGTAAAATAAAATACTGTTGAATACCTTGCAGTGTCATGAATTTCTTTGCCTCCGCTGATTTAAATGTTTTGAAATTGTCGTTTATAACTAAATCTGGAATTCCTCTTCGCGCCATGAATCGTTTGAATCCCCGCAGAAAACCGTGAACTGACATGTCCGGAACAAGTTCCAAATGGATAGCACGGCTCGAAGCACACGTCAGCAACAAAATATACGATTTATTGTTTCCCAGCCCATCCTTCACAAATAAAGGTCCTGCGAAATCCAGACCAGTAAATTGGAAAGCATGCGCCAAGTGATCCACTCTAAAATGCGGTAAATCAGGGCTCGCAGGAGCACGTACCGGTCTCCCCTGATATCTTGTACACGTAACACATTTCCTTAAAACTTCCTTTAGGCTTTCCCGTCCTTTTACAATCCAGAATTTGCGCCGAATATGTGCCAATGTTGTTTTTACGCCATGATGTAACGTCGCTTCATGAGCATCCAAAATAACTAACCGAGTGAAATAACTATCGTTCTTGCTTCGAAGTATAACTGGGTGTTGTTCTTCATGCTTTAATGACGTATTAGCAAACCGTCCCTTTAGTCGTAACAGTTCATCTTTGTCTTCAAATAGGCGAAGTGAAGCACAGAGGTTGGCATAATTATCTTGTTCTTTCATTAATAACTGCTCGTCCTTTACCCACATGTGTGACGCTGCGTTATATTCACTGACAGTCAATACGTCCTCGCAAACCAGATCGTCTTGTTTCTTTACTCGTTTCCGTACGTTCTTTATGAAACGTATCACATACCCAGTAACCAGAACAAGTTTCTTTAATGAACTGTAACGAGTACAATCAATGACAGCACTAATTGAACATCTGCTGTTGTTAGGCGTGCCCTTCTCTGTCGTGTTACTGAAGTTGACAACTTCAGTAGGAACTTCTACATCAACCCTCCCAACCAAAGAGTTTTCGTTACCACAACTAGCTTTTACCCTGTCAACTTCCAACTCCTGTGACCACAACATCAAAGTCCCTTAAACCAACAGCCCGAAAAAGAATCTTTTAAATTTGAAGACAGTCGAGTAGGGATATCAGCAGGATTTACCTCAGCCCTAACAAAATGCCACTTCTCACGATCCACCACTTTTTTTATAGCCACAACCCTATTCTCAATCCAAGGTTCCCAACTCTTCTCCTTCCCATTAACCCAACAAAGAGCGACCTCGGAATCAGTCCAACAGAATATATCATGCAAATTAATTCGGTTTTCAACTCCTATGAGTACTTCGCGAATTAATTTGCTAAGGAGTAAGCACCCCAAGAGTTCTAACCGAGGAATCGTGAGTGTTTTTAAGGGAGCTACCTTAGTTTTTGAAGCTAAAAAACATACATGGACCGCGCCCTGATAGACAAGCCGTAGGTAGACAACCGCACAGTAAACTTCTTTAGAGCTATCACAAAAACCATGAAGCTCTATACGACTACCGGAGGAAAAATTAGATGTAAACACAAACCGACTATGCCGTACTTCCGCGAGCTGTTTTAATTCCTCGACAAATTTGGTCCTGCAAACATCCGCAATTTTTTCAGGTATAATTTAGTTTAGTTTAGTTTAATTAATTCGCCAGTAAGTTACAATAACATACATATATAACAAGTTACAAGTTTACTAAACAGACGACTGGCAGGAGTTAGATACAGGACTAATGTCCCAGTTGCCATCCTACCCCTATACATCAATACAATACACTAAGAAATATTCACGCAGGTAAGCAATACGTAGCTAATTTATCAAAGTATAGGTTAGTGATTTTAGTCTTAAATAAAGTAATTGAATTACAAGATTTTAAATTAGAAGGTAACGTATTCCAGAGTTCTGTAGCCCTAATGAAAAACGACTTTCTATAATAGTCTTGTTTGTGCTTAATAATCAAGTTGTAGTTATTTGGGTCGTAATTACGTGTCCGATAGCAATAAACGTAAGTGTTCAGGTACTCATTCACGTCCATAGTTATTAGCCCATTTCTGGACTTAAACAATAAAGTTAAATCCGAAATCTCTCTTCTGAATTCCAGTGGAAAAAGGCGTAGTTTCTGCAGCCTCAACGGATAT